TAATTTATATTTCCTTTTAATCGGTTTGTTTCACTTCGTAAAGGTCTTAATTTGCTTTCTAAGAAGGTATCATAATCACCTCAAATAATACAGATACCGAACATAGAGCTAGCGGCACCAGTTCTGGCTTGTAGTCCTCTTTCTACTTCTTCGGCTTGTCTGGTAAGTCTTGATTTGGTAGCGTTAAATTCTTGTTCGCTAGTACACTGTTGCAGTTCTTTTTCAACTGATTTTAATTCATCTAGTTTACTAAAGCCTTGAGCTATGGTTTGACAATCTTCGGCTAAATTGTGAGAACCGCCTCAATTACAAGCACCACCTTCTCAGTATCCAGCATCATTGGCATAGTCAGAATTATTTCTGGCTTTTTTCCTGATTCTCAGTGAAGCGGCTGATTTAAATTCTCTTTCCAGTGTCTTGACGTCATATTTGGTCATGATTTATTTCTTGTTGTTTCTTAAGTCACCCCCCCTCTTCATCATCCTGCAACTTCTCAATTTCATTATCAGCAATTAGATTTCTGACTTGTTCTAATTTCTTAGTCAACTCAGTCACTTCTTGGGACCTAATCTCTAATCATCTGGCTTGCTGATAAGCAGTTATTAGAGGTTGGGCTTGCAATCACTCTTTTTGAGAAACTGGAGCAAAAGCAAATTGAAAATCGGATGAAAGAGAATAAAAGGAAAGCTCAGTCAGAAAAAGACCCTGATGAAAAAGCACTTTTACTACTAGCCATCGAAGAAGACGGGAAAAAATTGAAAAAAAACTTGGAAAAACAAAAAGCCATCCCCGCTTCTAATTTAAAGTTTGAACCAGGCAAATATGTTAGTGATTTAATTAAAGGAATGAAAGAAGCCATTGAAAAAGGCGGAAAGGATGGTTCAGGAAGTAGTGGCGGCAATGGTAGGAATAGGAACAAGAAAGAGGAAGATGAGGAGGATGAAGATGACGATGGAAATGGTGCTGGTGGTTCAGGAAGTGGATCAGGCTCTGGAAGAAAAGAAGACAAAAACCAAAATCAACCAAGCCAACAGCAGCTAATTATCTTTGGTGGTATTGCTTTAATAGTTATCTTTTACCTATATTCTCAATCTCAAAACCAAAAGCAAGAATCCAATTATTACGATTTCTAATTATGACTAACTCAGAAGAAATTAAAAACAAACTTGGTGAAACTACCGAACAGTTTGAACAGCATCTAGAATCTTGACAAAGAGGAGCTTTAATTCTAACTTTGGCTACTTTACTTCTAATCTCTATTTACCTTCTTACGCAAAAAGAAACTCCTCAACCCCGAGAACTAACTGAGTCTGAAAAGAGAAAAATAGAAGCTCTAGCTGAGGAACGGATACTAAAAAGGGCCGAATTCTTAAAAAGGCTAAGAACATAATCTACTATGAACCTATTTCAATCTCATCAAGAAGAGGAAAAATCTAAAAAACAAATGCAGTATTTAGTTATCATACTCTTAGTAGGAGTAGGTTATTATTTCTTTTTTTACTTACCGGAACAAAGAAATGAAGTTAAAAGAGCAATTGCAGAAGTCTTTCAGTCTAATGCTCCCATTACTGCTACTGATTTAGATAATAATCTCTGAAAAGGCTTTAAAACTTGACAAGAACGCTTAGACAAGTTATATTTACCTACTCAGATTAGTAAGTTTAGTGAAAGTATGAAAGAAGCTATTGAAACTAGGAAAAAGGAAATTGAAGAAAAGAAATTTAGAAGTATAAAAGATGCTAAAGAATCAGCAATTAAAGAATTAGAAGATTATTGTAGTGAAGTGGAAAAAGAATTACCCGAATTTAAAAAGATTATCGACAAGTATTCTAAAAAAATTAATAATTCCTCAATTAATGATATTTCTACTTTACAAGGGGAAGCTAGTGCATTGGTTGTTGAAGAAAGAGTTAAAAGACAGGGTTTGCATTGAAGGAGAAAAAAAGAAGAGAAGAGTAGCTGAGCCGATAAATGACTAGTTGATAATGTATCTGCTTTCGAAAAAGCGTGAAGCAAATTAAAAGAAATAATGGGAAAGGAACCAGAAAAATTTGATGTAGCAGCCTCCTACAAAATAAAATTCCCTCCTTCTCTTTGAAATGATTTAACTGAACAGGAAAAATTACACAAAAAAGCCGAGCAACTTATACTAGGGGATGATGTTCCAACATATAAGTTTAGTAGTTTAATTGAAGAATGAGAAAGAAAAACAAAAATAAATCCAGTCCGAGGAGAAAGAGATCCAAATACCAAACTCGATAATAATGCTCTTTTTTATGGAGCGCCTCGCACCGGAAAGTCAGTAATGGCTGAAAAACTTGCTTATGAGGCCGATATGTATCCGTTAGTAGTAATTCAGGGTTCTAGTTTAACCCCTCGTAAAAATGATTATGATGCAGGTATTGACTGTTTAAACAAATTCATTTTTACTCTTTGTGACATTGATTTCGTTTTAGCAGATGATTTTAATTTCAAAAGAGAAGAAAACGGAGAAGTTAAGTATATTCTATTTATTGATGAGGCTAATCAGATAACTACTAGTACTTTAATTTCTAAATCTAGTGAATTGACCTTTTTAAAAGAATGTATGGGGAGTGACAGCAGGATAAACGAAAGTAAAAATCTCTGAATTGCGGCTACTAACCACTTAGACCAGGTTAATCCGGCTGTTTATCAACCGGGTAGACTAAGTAACCCCTTAGATTTTAGTTGAACCTTAGGAGATTTTATGAGATATGCTGAGGAGGAAGACATTACTAATGATTTTCCTGAACATTGATTGGATATTGTAACCCTTGCCGATGAAGATAACAAATGAGTGAATAGATTTAATAAGATGTACTTTGATAATGACTTCCTGCCTTTTTGAAATAAATTTATTGCTAATAATCCCAATGCTGAATACGAGCCAGAAAAAGATGAAGAAGAATCGCAAACAAATGGTGATGAAGAGGAAAATAAAAAAGACAAAAAAATAAAAATCAAGTGAGGAGAAATGTTTGAATTTTTTTGAAGGCTGTTTGATAGCAAGCAATTAGACCATTTTAACGGCAAATTTATTAACCCTCGACAACCAAAAATAGAACAAATAGTAGAAAAGAACATGCCAATAGTCGCCAACCAAATCAGCAAATCAATCAGCACTCGCTTAAAAGAACTCACCGAAACAGCTGAAGAAATAAAACTCCAAGCCCAAGAGGCTAGAAGCAATTGTACTTCGGCTATAGAAGACGGTCTAGAACAAATAAGACTAATAATATCCGAAATGAAATAAAATTATGAACCAACAAAAAATAAATCAATTAGAATCTAAAATCAAAGAAATCAAATCAACCCTTACCCTCTGAACTAAAAATAT